CATCACATCAGTGGTGCCATCCAACCATCTCATCCTCTGTTGTCCCCTTCTCCTCCTGCCTTCAGTCTTTCCCAGCATCAGGGTCTTTTCCAATGAGTTGCTTCTTTGCATCAGGTGGCCAAGGTATTGTTTCAGCTTCAGCATCAGTCCCTTTCAATGAATATTCAGGACTGATTTCCTTTAGGATGGACAGATTGGGTATCCTTGCAGTCAGTCCAAGGGACTGTCAAGAGTCTTCTCCAGTACCACAGTTCAAAAGCATCAATTCTTTAGCACTCAGCTTTCTTTATAGTCCAATTTTCACATACATACTAAGTATAGTGGTAGCCTATTACATAAATGGTTGACTGATAGCATCAGTTATAAAAACACTGGAATTCACACATTTTAAAATGTAAATTAAATGTGTCATTTCATCAATACATGATCTGACTTTTGAAAACTAGGTTCATAAATTATTCTGACCTAGGTATGTCATCCCCTGCCCTTGAAAGAGTCCTGTGAAAAGAAATATTGCTATTGTATGAATTCTTTTGGAACTGATTATCCTTTAAGTAAATGTTCTTACCTTTATTCCTCACCTTCTCATTCTAACTGTTGGCCTTTTCCTTATTTTACTGTTCATTAGTTCATTTATGTAATAGAGTAATCCCCTCCAAACATGCACATGTCATAAACAACCTGTGAATATTTCTCATTAATTGGCAAAGGGAAATTAAGGTAGTAGATCAAATTAAATCTGTTAATCAGTTTCTCTTAAGGTAAGGAGATTACCCTATTTATCTGGATTGATCTAGTGTAATCAGAGAGGTCTTTATATGCAGGGAAAGGAGAAAGGAGTCTCAGAGTGAAGGGACCTGAAAGGCACTGCATGGACCCACCTTTGTGGGCTTTGAATCTTGAGGAAATGGGGTCCTCAAGCCACAGCATGTGGAAGACATTAAAAGCAAAAAACAGCAAAGAAATCTATTTCCCCTGGAGATTCTAGAAAGGAATACCCAGCTGACAACCTTTGATTCTTGACACCCAATAAAATCTGTGTCAGATTTCTGACCTATAAGCCTGTTAGGCAATAAATTTATGTTGATTTAAGCCAGTGTGATTGTAGTAATTTGTTAGGGCAGCAATAAAATCTAATACATCTACCAAGGTTTGAGAAAGAAAAATGAGGATGAAAACTCAAGACAGTCCATCCAAAGAAAGATTTAGTGTGGGTTACAGTTGCAAGGCTTGCCGACAGGAAGATAAAAGACTGTCACTGAATTTCAGCCTGTACTCTCAGGGTTTCACATTAATATGGAAAATCTACAGGATACTCTATCTAATGTAATGACCTGAAAAATACTTCAAACTATTTACCCTTGCTTAGTTCTGCATCTAGCCTGTACACTTTACTATAGTTAGAGTGATCTTTTCGCAAAACAAACTTAATTGTTTATTGTTTCTCTTCACAGTCCATGTCATGGTTCTCCATTCCCTGCAGAATAAAATCCAAACATGTAGCATGGCTCTCAAGGCCCCTCTATAACAAAAGGTTCTACCGAAGCCTTCTGTCATACTTCTCTTTCCTTTGAACCTTCTTATGTTCAGCCACGGTAACATACTTTTCATGTAGGAATCCAGCACGGTATTTTCTACATTTTCCCTTCCTACATATCATTTCCTTTACCACCAATGTCCTTCTAGATCATTGCATGTGCTGGAAATCCCCTGGGAATTCTTCAAAACTTAACTCAAGCATTAAATTTCCTGGAAAATCAAGGAACTTTATAAAGGGAAATAATTTGGTCTGTCCTTTAATGCTACTTTGTGATTTATATACCTTGCAATATCAAAATTATTTCTTTCCATGTCATTCTTTTATGGGAGCTTCTTTAGGGCAGAAACTGGATCTAATAATACATCTGTGGGAATTCAGTAACTCACATATATTAATAGTATGTCCTCAATACGTAGATACTAACTGAACAGTGTGTTATCTGATCTGGCCAGCACACTACAGAGATGTCTTTTTTTTTTTAATGTGTTTATTTTCATTTGAAGGATAATTGCTTTACAGTATTGTGTTGGTTTCTACCAAACATCAACATGAATCAGCCATATCTTTAAAAAAGAATGGTTTATGATTCCCAGGCTAGGTTTTACTTATATTCTGCCTCTATAAATTTAAGTAACATAAAAAATTATTTTACACACCTAGGACACATTTTGCATTTTAAATAAAATTCTGATACTAACTTACTTTGTTTGATACTACTCCTATTTGTAGCCATTAATTTAACACATGCAATTTCATGATTTTATTGTGTCAAAAATGAAAACAATGAAATACAGTTGTCCCTCCCTCAGTTATCCATAGGAGATTCAAGGACCCCCGCAGATACTCAAATCAGCGGATCTTCATGTCCCTCACATCCCATGAACATACATATCAATAATTATCTTAAATAGGCATGGATTAAATGCACCAAACAAAAGACATAGATTGGCTGAATGAATACAAAATCAAGACCCACATATATACTGTCTATAAGAGAACCACTTCAGATCAAGGGACGCAGAAAGACTGAAACTTAGGGGAGGGCAAAAAGTATTCCATGCAAGTGGAAGCCAGAAGAAAGCTGGAATGGTGCTACTCATATCGGACAAAATAGACTTTAAAATACAGACTACTCTAAGAGATAAGAAAGGATACTACATGATGACCAAAGGATGGATCCAAAAAGATCCATCCATCCATATATATGTACAATACAACAATTGTTGTTTCTTCTTGATGTTCAGTCATTAAGCCATGTCCCACTCTTGGCGATCCCATGGACTGCAGCTTTCCAGGCTCCCCTGTCCCCCACTATCTCCCAGAGTTTGCTCAAATCCATGTCCATTCAGTTGGTGATACTGTCTAACCATCTCATCCTCTGCCACCTGCTTCTCCTTTTAGCCTTCAATCATTCCTAGCATCAGGATCTTTTCCAAGAGTCAGCTCTTCACATCAGGTAACCAAAGGATTGGAGCTTCAGCTTTAGCAACAGTCCTTCCAGTGAATATTTAGGATTGATTGATTTGATCTCCTTGCAGTCCACGGGACTCTCAAGAGCCTTCACTATCATCACTATTTGAAAGCATACCTTTTGACTATATGGACCTTTGTTGGTAAAGTGATGCCTGCTTTTTAATGCTCTGTCTGGGTTTGTCATAGCTTTCCTTCCAAGGAGCAAAGTGTCTTTTGATTTCTTGGTTCATTCACCATCTAGAGTGATTTTTGAAGCCCAGGAAAAGAAAGTCTTGTCAGTGCTTCCAGTTTTTCTGTTCTATTTAGGGACCAGATGCCATAGTTTTCATTTTTTGAGTGTTGAGTTTCAAACTAGCTTTTTGACTCACCTCTTTCACTTTCATCAAGAGGCTCTTTAGTTCCTCTTTGCTTTCTGCCTGCCATTAGAGTGATATCATGTGCATGTCTCAGGTTGTTGCTATTTCTCCCAGCTGTCTTGATTCCAGCTTGTGATTCATCTAGCCTACAGTCCATAGCGTTGCAAAGAGTCAGACACAACTGAGTGACTAAGCACAGCACATGAAAACATTGATTACCATCCAGAAACTTTAGACTGTAACTATGGAAATATTTTGGTTTATTGAATACATTGCTTAGATGCCCACTGTTGGATTTGTGTAAAGCTAACTTGTTTTGGAATGGCTTGAAAGCCAGTAAAAGGTGTTTCAGAATGTATCTTCAGAATTTGAATTCTGTCACATTTCATAGTTTATTTGCCAGGAATGTTTTTGCTTCTTTTGTTTTAAGGGCCAATTCAAAGTAATCTAGTATAGCTACTGATATTTTCCCCAAAAAAGAAATGTCCTGTGAGAAACTTATCATCTTAAACATACCAGATGTATCTCCCGTTGTGCATCAACAAGTTGGCATTATGATTTATAGAGCCAATCTCCAGTGTATGGGCTTCCTTGGTGGCTCACATGGTAAAGCGTCTGCCTGCAATGCAGGAGACCCGGGTTTGATCCCTGGGTCGTGGAGATCCCCGGGAGAAGGAAATGGCAACCCACTCCAGTCCTCTTGCCTGGAAAATTCCGTGGATGGAGCGGCCTGGTAAGCTACAGTCCATGGGGTTGGAAAGAGTCAGACACCATTGAGCAAGTTCACTTTCTTTCTCTTTCTCTAGTTTATTCATTTAGAACAAAATGAGTCTATAGGACCTAATCATGCAGATTGTGCTGGAGACTTACCAAAGAGCATCCCTTTTTAGGAACCAGAAAGGCATTCTTTTTGTATATATCATGTCAGTTTCTCATCTCCTTAGTATACCAACCAGCCATGTGCTCAATCATGTCTCACTCTTTGCAAACCCATGGACGTAGCCTGCTGGGCTCCTCTGTCCATGGGATTTCCCAGGCAAGAATACTGGAGTGGGGTGCCATTTCCTACTTTAGGGGCTCTTCCCAACCCAGGGATCAAGCCTGCATCTCTCCTGTCTCCTGCCTTGCAGGCAGATTCTTTACCACTTACTGGATGCCAGATAACTTGATGTATTCTTTCTTCTTGTGTCTTGCACGAAATTCTTTTACCAGATTTTTACTTTCTTTAAGATTAAAATATGTAGCAGTTCTCTTTGCTCTTTTAAGTAGGTACATTTGCAGTGTATTGTGACTGCTGACAGATTACATGTACTGGGAGCTTCTCCTTGATAGTTTCAGTGAAACTACAGCTGTCACTGTCCCGAGGTGTGGAGTGCACGTAACTTTTAAAGGTTTTAGCCTTCTGTTCACTTGCTTGAGTATCTCTTCTTAACGATACAAAGTTATAAATTTCATCTGGACATAGTCACTGTATTGTGATCCTTTAAATGGTTTGCATGATTTCCATGTTAACGTGATATCATTTTTCATTTCTTCCAGGTATGTTTTAGTCAGATAGATACTTTTCTATATGAATAACTGTGTTTCTTTGAATGACTAACAGCAACAACTGTTTTATTCTTGCCTCACAGGTACTACAGTGCAACCATTCTGCAGATGTCTGGTGTTGAAGATGATAGACTGGCAATATGGCTGGCTTCCGTTACAGCCTTCACAAATTTCATTTTCACACTCGTGGGTGTCTGGCTTGTTGAGAAAGTGGGCCGCAGGAAACTCACATTTGGTAGTTTAGCAGGTGGGTGTTGAAGAATTCAGTTATAAACTTCTCTAATGATGACAAATTAATCCTTTAAAATACAATACCATTACCACTTCTGATATAATTTTTGTGGCCATATGATAGAGTTTTTCTATTCATATAATTGAGTTATAATAGAGGTCAAGAAGCAATAGTTAGAACTGGACATGGAACAACAGACTGGTTCCTAATCAGGAAAGGAGTACGTCAAGGCTGTATATTGTCACCCTGCTTATTTAATTTATATGCAGAGTACATCATGCAAAATGCCAGGTTGGATGAAGCACAAGCTGGAATCAAGATTGCCAGGAGAAATATCAATAACCTCAGGTATGCAGACAACATGACACAGCAGAAAGCAAAGAACTAAAAAGCCTCTTGATGAAAGTGAAAGAGGAGAGTGAAAAAGTTGGCTTAAAACTCAACATTCAAAAAAAAAAAAAAAAAACTCAACATTGAGAAAACTAAGATCATGGCATCCGGTCCCATCACTTCATGGGAAATAGATGGGGAACAATGGAAACAGTGACAGACTTTATTTTTGCGGGCTCCAAAACCACTGCAGATGGTGACTGCAGCCACGATATTAAAAGATGCTTGCTCCTTGGAAGAAAAGTTATGACAATCCTGGACAGCATATTAAAAAGCAGAAACATTACTTTGCCAACAAAGGTCCGTCTAGTCAAAGCTAGATGTGTGGTAGTAGTCACGTGTGGATGTGAGAGCTGGACTATAAAGAAAGCAGAGCACTGAAGAATTGAGGCTTTTGAACTGTGGTGTTAGAGAAGGCTTTTGAGAGTCTCTTGGACTGCAAGCAGATCCAGCCAGTCCATCCTAAAGGAAATCAGTCCTGAATGTTCATTGGAAGGACTGATGCTGAAGCTGAAACTCCAATACTTTGGCCATCTGATGCAAAGAACTAACTCATTTGAAAAGACCCTGATGGTGGAAAAGATTGAGGGTGGGAGGAGAAGGGGACGACAGAGGATGAGATGGTTGGATGGCATCGCTGACTCAATGGACCTGAGTCTGAGTAGGCTGCAGGAGTTGGTGATGGACAGGGAAGCCTGGGGTGCTGCATGGAGTCACAAAGAGTCGGACACGACTAGGTGACTGAACTGAACTGAGTAGAGTTTTTCTGAAAAAATTTTTTAAATAAAAACTTACGATATGTAACTAAAAATTAGAATTGTAGTAACAATTAGAGCCTACTGTGGGTAGCATTTTGCTGTTATTTTAAGTTTTACTCAAAGGTACAAAATAAAAGGCAAAGTTCTAACATATATGTATTTTTTTTAAGTTTGGGGTAATATGGAAATAAATTTGGGGCATTTTTTTTTTCAAAGTTCTTTCAACAGTGGAACATTGGAACCATATAATTTCTTCACAAAGTTGGGAGAGACTCTCTTTGTGTTTGAACAAGGCCTAAATCCTAGGGAAAATTCTGATTGATTTGGTATGTTTTCTGGGATAACTTAATAAGAAAAATCCTTCTCACTTTAAAGTATCTTTTGTCTTTAAATCTTGTCCATTTTATTTATTATTTCTCTAATGCAAGGCTTTTTCACTTGCCAAAATGACACCCTTCTCTGACACTGTCTTCACATGTTTGTATCAAAGAATTTTATAATCTTTTAAAAAATACAAGCAGATTTCTACTTATCAGTTAGCTATTTTCTGATTATTTCTTTGTAAGTTTAGTTTGAGTAAGAATACATTTTTCCATTAAAATATAAAGTTTCCAGGCCAGCATTAATTAAATTCTATTGTAACTAAATATAACTAAAGCATTCATCCAGTAGAACTGCTTCAAGTCACTTGTCCCAAATTTTGATGAGAAAATGCATTTAGGGTTTCATACTCAGTTATCAAGAATACATACTGCCTCTCACCCTTAACTCCAGAAGGAAGAGTAGAATGCATCCACCCTCTGTGTTTTCCTTGAGTGGAAGCTTTGAGCTGAATAATGTAAGTTGAACTACAGTATCAGAACTGAGGGGAAGGCAGGGGGAAGACTGATTAAAAGGCAAAGGTAATTGCAACAGCCAGTGTATACAGGAAGGGCACAATGAAGCAGGAGGATAAGTGAGGAAAGGTAAGGGACAGGTGAAGGTTAAAAGCCATATATTTACAACCTATTCAAGGAACCAGAATTGTCCAGGCCTGGAGAAAAAGACTACAGAGACCCCAAATAGATCCCTTATTCTTATAGATGGTAGATGTTATGAGGACATAGATTTTTTACTTAATATAAGAAAAATATTCCTAATAATCAGACCTATGCAACAATAAATTGGGCTGCCTCATGAGGGTCGTAAGCTCTCAACAAACGGATAGATGGCCATCAGGCAGTGATGTGCTAAAGACAGATTCCTGCAGTGGGTTGAAAATTGGATTTGCTGACTCCTGACGTTCAGGTAAACTCTAAGAAGTGGTAATAGCTGCTTTAAAAATTTTTTTAGCAGTCACACTTTCTTTTTGACAGGGCCTTAGTATACTGAAGAGGTCTATTTTTTAAATAGAATTTTGGGTCTTAAATTTGGGATTTGGCTTTTGAGATTTTGAGAAAAATGCTGGTTTTGAGAAAAATGCTGATTTTGAGATGGGGAAAATAGTTTTTCTAGCTGCCTCTGTCCCTTCATTTGTTGTATTCCAGGACTTTGAGTCATTATAGATACAAAGCCAGGCTGGGTTTGAATTTTGTGACATTGAACAAGGTTCTATTTTCTCATCTATGAACAGGGATTAATTATAGTCCTTACTTCATAGGTTTATAGTAAAGACTAAACACATTTACACATGTATAGATAGCATTTCAAACAGTACCTGACACAGACAGTAAAATGCTCAAAGAAGTTTGCTATCACAGTATTGTTACTGCCAGAGAGTGATTATTTGTTGCTTGAACCATAACCCAGGAACATTCCTGAACTCTTCTGGATGTCATGTTTCACCCCTCCATGTAAGTCCTCTTCCCCGGGGATTGCCAGAGCCCATCGCTGACTATTATGAGAAAGTGAAGTGAAGTGAAAGTCGCTCAGTCGTGTCCAACTCTTTGCGACCCCATGGACTATACAGTCCATGGAGTTCTCCAGGCCAGAATACTGGAGTGGGTAGCTTTTCCCTTCTCCAGGGGATCTTCCCAACCCAGGAATCTAACCATGGTCTCCTGCATTGCAGGTGGATTCTTTACCAACTGAACTATCAGGGAATTTAAAAAAAAAAAAAATGACTTGGGGGGAGAGACTAAGAGTTTCCAGGCACTGCCTTTGTGAGCAACCTGGAGGCAGTTTTCTTTTCTGCCAAATGAAGAGATTGTCATTAAATTTGTAGTATTACAAGAAAGATCAGTTCTCTTAGCAAGCTTTGAAAATATTAAAAGTCAGGACACCACAGAATGTGCTACCTTTAAATTATTCATAGGTTATATATTTTGGATTTCTTTGTATAAAGAGTTTCTTTGGGTCTAACTAAATACAGTTTATTTGTAGTACTTTTTAAAGACTGAGCACCTAAAATATTTTTAAGAATTTATTTATTTAGTTTTTTTTTTTCTTTTTATGTAGCACACTACTCAGTGCTCTGTGGTTACCTAAGTGGGAAGGAAATCCAAAAAAGAGGGGACATATGTATACATATGGCTGACTCGCTTTGTGATACAGCAGAAACTAATGTTACAGGATTGTAAAGCAACTATTGTTGTTGTTTAGTCACTAAGTCATGTCCAACTCTTTGTGACCCTGTGGATTGTAGCCCACCAGGTCCCTATTTGCATGGGATTTCCCAGTCCAGAATACTGGAATCATTTGCCATTTCCTTCTCCAGGGGATCTTGCCAACCCAGAGACTGAACCCATGTCTCCCGCAACAACAGGCAGATTCTTTCCATCTGAGCCACCAGGGAAGCCACACAGCAACTGTACTCCAATCAAAATTTATAAGTAAATAAAGAAATAATAACATTCTTAAAGAAATTATTTTTTTTTCTTCACCATTTTTCACCTAATAAAATAAATCATAATATATTTAATATTCTACCAGTGCTAGTGTTAGAACACTGTTCTATTTAAAATTTCTTAAATCAGCCTGGAATTTTTAAATCTTTCATTCAGTTTTATTCCCTATTTTGTGTTTTATTGATTTTTTTTTATACTGAGTGAAATTTAGTTAAAAAAAAATCAAAATAACCTTTTGAATAGGTACTTGTTCTTTAAAAGTTACTATAAACAAACTGTATTCAGCTAGACCAGGACAAAGAAACTTTTTATACAAAGAAATATAAAATATATAGTCCATGAATAATTTTAAATGTAGGACATTTTGTGGTATTCTGACTTAATATTTTCAAAACTTGCTAAGAGAACTGGTCTTTCTTGTAAATATTACCAAGTTAATGACAGCCTCTTGATCCTTTTAATAGAGGAAGGCTTAGAAAGCCAGAAACACTGTGTTATTTTCTGCCAGATATTTTGGTAGTGGAGTATTCCCTAAAATATCACTCTGATGAAGCTCGTCTTCATCAGAATTACCAAGGATACTTTAAATTGTGAATTCTTGGGGGCCCAACCCCCACTCTGCTAAATTGGAATCTCGAGATGAAGTCTGGAGCATGTGTAGGTGATATTTAATCACAAAAAGTGTGTTCTGTTTGAGTTGTGGGTAAGGAAGTTTTTTTGTTTTTTTTTTTTTTTACTAATAATATAGGCCCTTGTATCAGATAGTTAAGGTAACTTACTTCATCAGGTATTTTTTAAGGATTCTATTTATCCAGCACACTACCTCCTATGGAGAACATTTTTATTAGGAAAATGATATCAGAATTCCAAAATGCAACAGTATAGTTGACTAAGGAGGGACTCTTTTCTTATAATATAAAGAATGTGCCCAAACTGCCCATTACATTGGAGATTCTTTCATACAAGGCCTTCCTGCATTGGACTCAATGAACCATTGAGTCCATTGACAACCATTGAACCATTGAAAACTGTAACAACTTCAAATGCCATTGAGTCACTTATAAAGCAGCTGTGATTTGTTAAGGGAAAGGAAATAGGTAGTTCAGGTAGTTTTAAGCCTTAAAGAGCCATGAACATATGATAGGACGAGGTGACCATTTTAAAATTTACTCCATAAATTAAGTCATTTAAGACCATTCCCTTCCCTTAAGGAGTTTATCATCTCATAAGATAAGAGTTTTTACTCTGTTGTTGGCTATCACAATCACCTATGAAATCATATTATCTGATCCCCATTTTATGGAGACTGATTCAGAGGTTGAGGTACATTCTAAACAGTTGCATGTTCAATAGGAAGCCAGGATTGAGAAACAAGACTATAATAAAGGTATGATACTGACTTTTAAAATATTTCCATCCATAGTATGTCAAAATAGATTTGTGTTTAAGAAATGTAAACCTTCAACTAGGAATTTTGTATATCCAAAATGGTCTTTTCCCCAAATTTTGCAAGTTGGTTGGACTTTTTAGAGATGGATCCAAGAGATATAATATCTATACTGCAGAACTCTCATCTGGGATATTTCTCCCATACTAACCCACGACCTCAATTGAATAGTTATAATATGTTTTGTTATTTTCTTAGAAAATAGTCAGCATTGCAAAAATCTTTAGTACTGTGAGATCTGCTCTATACCAGGCACTAGAATTGAATATATGTTAATATGCGTTAGGTATACTACCTTAAAGTTTACAGTTTATCAGAGACCAGTTATTTTAAGTCGTGCTATGAAAGAAGAGTGCCATGTTTCCTTCCCATCCTAAAATATCAACATTTCCTGACTGAAGCAAATCTTACCTGTGCCATGACAATATTCTGTGGAGGTAATTTTGGAAGATACTTAGGGCCCAGCTTCTTTGATAGACAGATTAACAGTAAAATTTGTGGCTTATTTTGCTTTGTTTGAGGAGAGAGGGATGACTTTTATTTACATGCCCAGTATATCTTTTCTCTTTTTGAGAGAGAGACTTGTTTTTTGTTTCCCAATTCAGGAATTGGTAGTCTTTTGAGAAAATAATACCTCAAACTAGTTCTAGTTCTAGTTTGAATTTTAAGCCAACAAGGGGAAAATGAACTGTGATTGTATATTCATGACTCTTCAGCCTGGTGTGGTAAAATAGGCTTCTGATCTTTTCTTCAAGCCATCTCCCTCCTTCTCAACTTTCTTCTAGATTTTGAAAGGATACTGCTGCTGCTGTATTTAATAATTATAGTACAATAGTTAACATTTTTAGCTTTCGAAAAATCTTTCAGATGTATTGTGATATTTAAAATTCACTGCAATTCTGCAAGATGAATATTATCACCAAGCCCCATTTTACAGCAGACAGAATTGAATGTTGGAAAGGTTATGTGCATTGTCCAAGATCATGGAGTCAAGAAACAGCAGGGTGAGAACTTAACCACAGTATCTAACTTGACATATCACCTCTATAATAAACACAAACACTTCAACTATTATGTAATCCAGTTCCACTTTGACAGTGCTTCCCAAAGTTGTTTTTTTATCCATTTGAAAAATACATTTCATCATTCTTAAATAACTTTCTCATTTATCTCATAGAAACTTTACTGCTACATAAATGACTACCCTGAGTTCCATATTTTAAACATTATTGCCTCATTCAAGCAAATTATACAAACAAGTGCCTCCATATTTTCTTCTTTCTTCCCATGACCTTTTGTTTTTATCCTCACAATGGCTGGAACAATTGTCAGAAATTTGAAAACTTTCTTGTTTCCTGTCAGTATTTCTATAAAGGACTCAAAAATGAGCTTTTTAAGTGATATATATGTGTGTGTGTGTGTGTGTGTGTGTGTGTGTGTGTATCTGTTAGTGATTTTATATATATATATATATATATATATATGTTATATCTTTTTAAGTCATTGTATATAAAATCACATTCTGTACCCTAAAATCAAAGACAAATATTCCACTTCCAAATGCCAGCAGGAAGAAGAATTGAATGTATGTGTTATGTCATTTCTGGGATTTTTAAGTCTTTACACAATGTTACTCCTTTTTATGAGAAATTCTCTTTCACCTGTTTTTGAAATATTTAGTTTGTTACTTTTTAGTTTATTATTTGGATCGTACTTTGCCAACATTACTTTGCCAACAAAAGTCCGTCTAGTCAAAGATATGGTGGTTTTTCCAGTTGTTATTTATGGATGTGAGAGTTGGACCATAAAGAAAGCTATGTACTGAAGAACTGATGCTTTTTAACTATGGTGTTGGAGAAGACTCTTGAGAGTCCCTTGGACTGCAAGGAGATCCAGCCAATCAATCCTAAAGGAAATCAGCCCTGAATATTCATTGAAAGGTCTGATGCTGAAGCTCCAATACTTTGGTCACCTGATGCAAAGAACTGACTCACTGGAAAAGACCCTGACACTGAGAAAGATTGAGGGCAGGAGGAGAAGGGGATGACAGAGGATGAGATGGCTGGATGGCATCACTGAGATGATGGACATGAGTTTGAGCAAGCTCAGGGAATTGGTGATGGACAGGGAGGCCTGGCTTGTTACGGTCCGTGGGGTCGCAAAGAGTAGGACATGATGGAGTGACTGAACTATTACTACCATTTGGGTCCTAGATGATCGAATAACATTAGAACAATTTTCTTGGTATTGAAAGGAGCACTTGATATAAATCTGTTGCCTTTTATACTTCCTGATGTGTTAGGCACTCAATAATGTCAGTTATATTAATTCTTTTTGAGACTGTCAGCAATCCAAAATAGTGTTTGTTTAGAAAGTTATTACCAGTGCTTGGCTCACAAATGTATTTGATTTGAATTTCACTCTTGTCATTTCTCACAGTGAACGTGCTAGTGAGTTTTTAATGACAATACTTATGCATGACAATACTTATGTATGAGGATCTTTTTTTTAATCCAATGAAGATAGATCAAGGTATTTTTTTCAGAGAGATAGCTTGCTAAACCCAGTCTGCTTTGAAAGAATGTTGTCAACTTTTCTCTGATGTAAAACTTTTTGTTTTTTAGGTACCACTGTAGCCCTCATTATTCTTGCTTTGGGATTTCTGCTATCAGCCCAGGTTTCTCCACCCATCACTTTTAAGCCAATATCTCCTTTAGGTCAGAACACTACTTGCACAAGATACAGGTGAGATTTTATAATGGTACCCTTCCTTAACCTAATTCTGGTAACTTCTTTGTTTACTTATAACTTTCCTAAAATATGAGAGATGAGTAAGAGCTTGCTAGGCATCCAGACTTAATGGTGGAAATGCATGCTTCAGGAAAAGTGAGTTATTAGACACAATTTTGATGATACTTCTCTGGAAATTGGAAGCATATATTGATATAGAATCTAAGCAGGATTACTGAGAAGCTATTTTAATCATATATAACTCAGTGACATCTACATTCTAAGTGAAATGAACTTTCATCAGTAATTAAGCTTTTCCATGATGTACATGTCTGATACACTTATTATCTGGATATTCTATCAGGTTCCATGATGTACATGTCTGATATAGTTTATTATCATTTGGATAGTCTATCAATTAATCTTCACCGTGTTCCACAAGTATCTCCTCATTCATTTAAGCAGAAAATAATTTTTCCTCTCACTAGTAGGGTTCTTGAAGAGCAATAGAAAGTGAGAAAAGGTGCTGGAAGAGTGTTTTAATCGTCAGCTTCAGGTTTAATAACTTGTTAAGTTTAGCCGTATACACCCTATGTGATAGATTAATAGATAGAGAAATGGATGAATGGATACATCAGCTAACAGATGGACTGAAGAATGCACAATTGAATTAATTAAAAATTGAATGACTGGACAGGTCAATTAATAAATTTATCAGTAGAGTTCCACATTCCTTCGTGGTTGTGATTCCCTTTTAGGGCTTCTCAGGTGGCTCAGTGGTAAAGAACATGCCAGCCAATGCAGGAGACGTGAGTTCAATCCCTGGGTCGGGAAGATCCCCTGAAGAAGGAAATGGCAACCATATCCAGTATTCTTGTCTGAGAAATCCCATGGATAGGGGAGCCTGGCAGGCTATCGGCCACGGGGTCACAAAAGAGTCAGACATGACTTAGTGACTAAACAACAACAAACAACAAAGTGTTTCAATTTTTTTTTACTTCATTTTAGTGGCTGGAAAGGCTAGCAACCCCTTTAAAATATATTGATAAAATAGCTTTAAAAACAAAAAATGATATTCCTTCAGCCTCAACTAAACAGATATAAGTCTCAAATCAAAGGGTAAATCATTTATTAAGTCAGGTACTCCTATATGAAATTAAAACATTACATTGCTACACTTAATTCCACTTGGGATCACTTGGAGCTTCTCATTTAACAGAATTTATGGTGCCTTCTTATTACAACAGTGAGGAAGATATATGTAATTATGTCTTTCTGGTTGCAAATTGTGATATTCACTTGCCTTTGGAAATGAATGTTTTATGTGTTTATCACTTTACTATTTTTTAACAGTCTTTATGTTCTAAGGAAGATTTAAAGGTGTCTTAAAAGAAGTTAACCTTAACATAGACTCTTTCTGTATATAGAGATTTTTATTTTCTTTGGATATCTGAGCTCAACTGCTAGAAAGATGGTAGACCATTGCTAGAATTCTGCATGCTCTACTTTTGTTTCTCTTGAAAGATATTTTAAGTACTGTGTTTTTAGCTCAGTTACCTCTAACAAATTATTAAAAAACTACTATTGTTTGAGAAACATAGAATACTTTTTAGATTTGATGTCTGATTTAGATGCAGCAATTTAGATTGAGAATAAGATTGATACACTGTCAGATCACCTAAAGGCAGAAATTCAGCCAGAGAGTATGAATAAAAAAATTTTATGAAGTTCTGATACAGAAAAGAAGTAACTAAGTTTTTAATGATTTGCATAATTAAATAGCTTTCCTGATATCAACTTTTAAAATTTCAATACAAATATTTACTGCTGTAGTATATTTCATTGCATGGCAATTTGTGATCATCAATCTATTAATCCTACTGATCCATCTAAATTATTATCATCTACCTATCAATATAGGTAGGTGACAATAAAACATTTTCTTTGACCTACCAATTTAAGATAAAATTGTAGTGGAGTGAGAGAAGTGTACAACCTAATGTTGTTCATATCACAAAGTGATAAGTTTTTAAAAACAGAACCAAATTTTATATGTCTTCCAGAAGTCACTGAATATGCAAAGCAATTATTTCTCATGTAGTTTCTTTAAGAGAAACATATTAGGTTTTGTGAGCAGTTGACAGTAGTTATAGTATGTATGTATAGTCTGAATGATTTTATAAAATATATCTGCAGACCCCTTACTGATTTTGTTGTGTTAAAAGTATCTACATACATTTCCCATTTCTTTACAATAAATATGAAAAATATAGTATACAACATACATGAAAGTTATTAAGAGAGTAAATCCTGAGTTCTCATTATGAAAAATGATTTGTTTCTTTAATTTTATATATATAAGAGATGATGGATGTTCACTAAACATTGTGATAATCATTTCATGATGTATATAAGTCAAATAATACTGTAAACCTTAAACTATGCTAATCTTTATGCCAATTGCCTCTCAATAAGACTGGGAAAAAAAATAAAAAGAAGATAAAAATGAAACAGTCATGTTTGCATGACTTTAGAATGAGTAATTCTCATGCAGTAAATAAATATAGGTGGTATACTTTCCTCTTGGAATGATCTGTATAGGAAAACTGAGCAAAGAAAACAGATTTAAAGGGAGAGATGGTTTAATCTTAAGAACACTGTATATTATTGGTGGGAGTGTAAATTTTTCTTCATTTTTAAAATTGATATACTTTTGCCCAGTAAAGGTTAAATGCATAAGCCGCTCGACTCAGCACTTGCACTTGAAGAAATCTATTATGATGGGTATGTAATGCCCTCTTGACTTGACTCTACTAGACTAGAGTAGAAGATTTATGGAAGTGAATGGTTCAAGAACAATGGTTATTCTTTATTTTAATTCAGAAAGTGTTGATTGCGTGGCATCACTAACTAGGTTAGAACCACAAACATCGTAGATTGGGATGCACTGATGGCTTTGGACCCAAGACATTGACCACCTTAAATAATTTCTAATAAGAACTTATGCTTTTTAGGATTTTTAATTGATGATATTCTTTCCAAGTCCTGGTTTGATTTTCTGAACCAAATATATTAAACAACATCTTTCAGATCTACTTTCTGCAGTTAAAATTGCGTACAGTCACAGAGCACCAACTAAGGCTTAGGAGAAATAACTCCAGTTGGGGTATCATCTTAATCATTTATCTATATAAGAATATACATGCTTACACCAAATATGGCTTTTAGTTCCATGCTCTCAAATTACTAATAAGCATATTTTCTTATAAGAGCTATCCAAGTTTGAGGATTCAGACCTTTCCTGCCTAACACTTCCCTGAAATCTTTGACTTTTTATTATTTATAAGTATGATCTCAGTAGGGGCTTCCCCCGGTGGCTCAGAGATAAAGAACCTGGCTGCCAAGGCAGGAGACCCAGTTTTGATCCCAGGATCGGGAAGATCCCCTGGAGGAGGGCATGGCAACCCTCCAGTATTCTTGCCTGGGGAATCCCATGGACAGAGGAACCTGGCGGGCCACAGTCCATTGGGTCGCAAAGAGTCAGACACGACTGAAGCCGCTGAGCGCAGCACACAGCACGTGATCTCAGTGTATTCAAATCGCTGTCAAAAAACCCTCGAAGTAAACAGATATTTCTTAAAGTATACAGCTGTAGAATTGCAGATACTCTCACCCTAGGGCTTTCATTCACATTGCTGCTCATTCATTCATGCATGCATGCATGCATGCATTTAAAAAATATTTTGGAGCACATAGTCATAGGATTATATAAGGATGAGTTAATATAGAGAAAGCACCTAAAGCAGTTCTCAGCACATAATAAGCACCCAATAAATAAAGCACCCATAATGTTGTCATTATGTTGTCATTAATAAATATGTTGTCATTAATAAAACCTATAATAAAATATGAGATTATGATTTTGAGTAGAAGTCTTTCCCATCTTTTGAAGAAGAGTTTTAAGCAGGGTAGTGACTTGACCAAATTTTCTATTCTCAACTTTGTCTCTGGGGCACAGAGGGCACATGTTGATATGAGGAGACTAATTATTAAAATTGCCTATGAGAGAGATTAGTAGTTGCCTGGACTATGGTGGTGATACTCAGGATAAACAGGTAAACAGATTCTAGATAAATCTAAGAGAAAAATCAACAGGAGTCAAAAATAGGAAATTGATTAACATCAGCAACCGGATAGAATCGATCATAGAAGTCAGTTGGGGTCCTTAAATGAGAAATTCACAAGAAGGACTGTGCTTCTGATCCACGGCTCTTTTTCCTGTCAGTATTTTTCAACTGAGACTCTTACCTCGAGCTATCTGTTGTTGTTGTGCACTTGCTCAGTCGTGACCAGCTCTTTGCAACCCCATGGACTGCAGCGCACCAGGCTTCCTTGTCCTTCATCATCTCCCAGAGCTTGCTCAAACTCATATCCATTGAGTCAGTGATGCCATCTAACCATCTCATCCTCAGTCCTCCCATTCTCCTCCGGCCTTCAGTCTTTCCTAGCCTCGGGGTCTTTTTTTAATGAGTCGGCTCTTATCAGGTGGCCAAAGTATTGGAGCTTCAGCTTCAGCATCAGTCCTTCCAATGAATATTCGGGGTCGATTTCCTTTAGGATTGACTGGTTTGCTCTCCTTGCAAGCCAAGGAACTCACAAGAGTCTTGTCCAACACAATAGCTCAAAAGCATCAATTATTCGACACTCAGCTTTCTTTATAGTCCAACTCTCTCATCTATACATGACTACTGGAAAAACCATAGCTTTGATTAGATGGACCTTTGTCAGCAAAGTAATGTCTCTGCTTTTTAATATGCTCTCTAGGTTGGTCATAGCTTTTATTACAAGGAGCAAGTGTCTTTTTAATCTCATAGCTGCAGTCACCATCTGCAGTGATTTTGGAGCCCCCAAAAATAAAGTCTCTCACTGTTTCCATTGTTTCCCCATTTATTTGCCATGAAGTGATGGGAATGGATTCCATGATCTTTGTCTTTTGAATGTTGAGTTTTAAGACA